CCGGCTGCCCCGCGCCGCCCCGGCGGCGGCCTCAGCCCTCCCGGCTCTGCCTCCTCCCGCTCCCGGGCGGCCCGGGAGGCGCCTCCTGCTCGTGAGGTCTTCCCTGGGATTAGCCCTCCCTCTTCTGAGCCGTGTTTGTTTCCGTGCCGCGATCCCACGGACCCACACGCCCCCGTTTCTCGTTCAACGGTCCCCCTTTTCTCTGGTTCAACTGGTTAAAGAATAGAAAGTTCACAGCGCGTCTCCCGCTGCCGCTAAGGAGGTTGCGGGTTCACTTCCCGTTTCTCCTGACTACCGACGGTCGTTTTCAAAGACTAGTGAATTTCTTCATGCAAAGCAGCTACTGTGCATGTTTGTTGAGATGGTAGGGTAGTTCAGGGAATAAGGGATGTTGCATCCAGTGGCTCTTTGGGGGGAATCTAAGTGGATGAAAAAGCTTAATTTGGTGTCGGATCTCTGACTTTTGCATTAGGACTGAATTCTAAGGCCTCAGTGAGTTCCTTTTCTGATGCTTTGTTATGATTTAAATATTTATGCTCAAATATTTGATATTTAAATGCTTATTTCATACTAATTGCCTAGGTTCAAAACCTCTGGATGAAGTAGTGAAGTAGTTTTTTAAATACAGTACCTATTTTTTAAAACTTTTACAGTATTTTTATGAAATTAAACACTGTAAAACTTTGAGCCCAGAAAGTAGTGCCTTAGAGTAAGTGCTTAGTAACTTGCTAATAGTTTAGAAAATACCACAGTGAACAAGCTCTAGTAATTTCTTAAACAACCCTGTAGATTAATACCTGGAAAAGAGCAGATATAACAATTTAAAATGTATGCATCTGCGGAAATTATTTTGGAATGTCTTAATGTAAATATAAACAGAGTGAGTCCTTAAGTCCTCTAGCATAATTACCCCATGGAAAGTACCATAATATTAGGCCCCTGTTTCTTAGATCTTTTTCCTATAGTCTTTAAACAGTGATCTTCTAGGTAATTATACTTGCATTGTCCTTGCTTCCTTTCCCGGAACTTGTCTAGAGTACTAGAGTGTAGAATTCTGGATTGGTCCTCTTTTTGTCCAGTAGACACTCACATTGTGGAAACATTCCTTTTGTTTTCTTTAATGAAATGGGAAGGGAAAAAGCATTTTTTATTAAAAAGAAGACAAAATCTTCAGTATCTGTCAAGCACAACGGGTCTTTATATGTGCCAAGAGAAATAATTGAATTCTCCAAAACTGAAAGAAATCACCACTATTGTGGCAAAAATGCATGTTGTGTGTTTTGTTTTTTTTAATATACCTTTATTGACTTCAGAGAGAGGAAGGGAGAGGGAGAGAGAGAGAAACATCAATGATGAGAGAGTCATTGATCAGCTGCCTCCTGCGCACCCCGGACTGGAGATCTAGCCTGCAACCCAGGCTTGTGCCCTGACCAGGAGTCAGCCGTGATCTCCTGATCCTAGGTCACTGCTCAACTGTTGAGCCACGCCCGGCCAGGCAGCATGTATTTTAAGAATCAGGGCTCTCAGCTCCCCTTTTAGAAAGCAGACTCTGGTATTGAATTTCAAATCTTCAATATTTTGCACGATTTCTAATCTAAAAGCATTGCTCATTGTGTCATTTCATAGCTCAGAAGCTTCCACTCGCTCTTAGAAGTACATGCCATTAATTCAGAGTCCTTGCAAGTCATCTGGGATGTTCTTTTGTTGGGTTTCCCATCTATGATTTCCTTACAAATGGGAGCCTTCAGTTCCAAGGCAAACTGCTCTGCTCCTCATTCCTCAGGCATTGTGTGCTCATTTCTGACTTTAAGACTTTTATTCTTCCAAGTGTGCTAAAATCACAGTGGCACTCTTACAATCTCTTCTACTCATTTTTATTTAACTGTTTATGCTTCCCAACTACACTGGAAGTGCACCTAGTCTTTGTTTTCTGTGCGCCCAAGCTGGAAGCACATACTGTATAAATAATTGAGATATTGGTTCTTTAAGTGAGTGAGTGGTAATTCTATCAGTATATTCCATATACTTACCACTTCTTATTTTTATCCATAGGAAGGTTTTCTCCTTGGGGAAGTGAAAGGTGAAGCCAAGAATAGCATTACAGATTCCCAAATGGATGATGTTGAAGTTATTTATACAATAGGTGAGTCACTTATTTCTGTGTATCTTATTTTTGATGGTTTATGCTGAAAGGAATTAACATAAATTACTTTTTAAATTGATTTAAAAAAAAACAGGTACAAAATTTAAAAAGCATATTTAAAAGGACCTATTGCCCTCATTTCTCAATTAAAATTATGGCCATGGCCTAGTCTAAAGCTGCAAACAACATGGGACATAAGCAGATAAGATTACTGTGGGGAAGCAAGAATGAAATAGCTCCTGCATATATTGAAGTGGAACGAAGAAAGCGTAGCAAAAGGAGATGGACCCAATAAGTAAAACCAAGAAAAAAGATATAAGTTTGGACAAAAATGTTAAATAGCACAGGAAGTTGGAAGATGAGAACTGAAAAAACTCAAATGACTACAGAATTTAAAAATCTTATATGATTTCTAGAGTATAATGGGGGAAAGACCAGACTGCAAAGGTTTGAGGAGTGAGGAGTGAAGCAGCTGTAGCTGGTGGCAGCTGCTCTTTCAGGGGGAAAAAGGAAAAAGCGGAGCTTTAAAATATATAGGACCCGGCTGGTGTGGCTCAGCGGTTGAGCATTTACCTAGGACCCAGGAGATCAAGGTTCAGTTCCCAGTCAGGGCACATGCCCAGGTTTTGGGCTCGATTCTCAGCAGAGGGCATGCAGGAGGCAGCCGATCGATGACTCTCTCACTCTCTCATCACTGATGTTTTTCTCTCTCTCCCCCCTCCCTTCCTCTCTCTAAAATCAATAAAGATATATTTATATATATATGTAATACAAATACATATTATATAGGGAGTTTTAATATATATAATATATAAATAATATAAATATATAATATACAATTATATATATTTAATAAATATATAATATATAGAGAGTTTTCTGATGAACATATACAGGTTTTTCTTAAATATGTTTTTTAAAACAAAATTGGTGGTGTACTTTGTTAAAAATTTGGCATCATGACATCATATTGTGTCATGACCATTTCCCCAGGTTAAATTATCCTCTAAATATAACTTTTTGTAACTGCATTGTGTTTTCTATGGCCTTACTCTCGTGGCTTTATGTAATTTCAGTAGTCCTTTAAATAAGTAAGTTATAATCAGAGTTATTTCCAATTTTTTTAAAACTATGTTTTTATTGATTTTAGAGAGAAAGGAAGGGAGAGGGAGATAGAAGCATTAACCAGTAGCCTCCTGTACACACCCCGACACCTGAACCCACAACCTGGGTATGTGCCCTGACCAGGAATCAAACCTGCAAACTTTTGGTGCATGGGACGGTGCTCAGCCAACTGAGCCACACCTGCCAGGGTTCCCAGTTTTTTATCATTATAAGTTACACTACAGTGAACATCTTTGTATAGATATTTTCCTTGTTATAGATATTTTCCTAGGAATGTAATTATAATGTCAAAGGTTCTTGATCTGTACTGGAAAGCAAATTACTTTCCAGAAGGATATCAGTTTATATTCGCATTATCAGTGTTATTTTTTGTTTTAACTTTAAAAGGTTAAAAATGGAACAACATATATATAAACTTACATGCAGATATAAATGTAGTATGTATGTGTAAAGTAAATACATAAATTTTAAATTTACTCTCATTAGTCTCCTCTGTGGCAGCCACTGTTGGTTTCATGAGTGCTATTTTTACTCATTAACAATAAACATAATACATATGTGTGTGTGTGTGTGTTTTTATTTACACAAATGGGATCATTCTATACATGGATAAATATCTCCAAGATGTCATTAGTGCAGAACAGTATCAGTGTGTATAGTTTGTCATCCTTTCTAATGGCTTCAGAGTTCCATTATATGGGCATACCATAATTTATTTACNATCCTTTCTAATGGCTTCAGAGTTCCATTATATGGACATACCATAACTTATTTACTTTTTAAATATGTTTTTATTGATTTCAAAAAGAGGAAGGGAGAGGGAGAGAGAGAGAGAGAAACATCAATGATGAGAATCATTGATTAGCTGCCTCCTGCACGCCCCCTACTGGGGATCAAGCCCAAAACCTCAGCATGTGCCTTGCCTGGGAATTGAACCATGACGTCCTGGTTCATGGGTTGAAGCGCAACCACTGAGCCACACCAGCTCGCCAACTTTCAATTTTTTTAAATGCAAAACAATAAAATAGTAGACATTTTATTGTGCATATATCTTTGTGCCTTTAAATATATCTGAAACTCAAATGCCTACAGGTAGACCACTGCCTTTTGGAAAAGTCATCCCATTTTAGACTCATTGCCTTTTGGAAAGTCATGCCATCTTATATTCCTCAATATGTTAAAGTTCCTGGGTCTCCATAGTCTTGCCACCACTAGTTATTATCAAGTCTTTTTTTAATCTTTGCCAATTTGATAAGTAAAAACAAAAAAATAATTTTAATTTACATTTCTTAATTACAAATGAGGTTAAGGGTTTATGGATTTGACCTTTTTGGGGGGGCATTTTTCTTATCATTGGCATGCTGCCCAAAGTATCTAACATATTTTGAGGAGTTTAATTAAGCAGCCATTTATTGAGCAACTGCATTGTGCCAGGAACAGTGCTTTGCTTTAAGGTATCAGGCAAGTGCTATAGAAACACTTAAGTATTTGCTCAAATTTATTTATTTTATTTATTTTATTATTTTTTATTTTATTTTATTNCCATTTATTGAGCAACTGCATTGTGCCAGGAACAGTGCTTTGCTTTAAGGTATCAGGCAAGTGCTATAGAAACACTTAAGTATTTGCTCAAATTATTTTATTATTNAAACACTTAAGTATTTGCTCAAATTTATTTATTTTATTTATTTTATTATTTTTTATTTTATTTTATTTTATTATTATTTTTTTAATCCTCACCCAAGGATATTTTTTCCATTGCTTTCTCAGAGAGAGTGGAAGGTGGAGCAGGGGCAGGGCGAGGGGGAGAGAAAAACATCAATATGAGAGAGACGCATCCATTCCTTGCCTCCTGCACACACCCTGTATCCTCAGGTGAGGATTAAAAAAAAACACACGATGTTTGTTTGTTTTTTTCTTGATAGTTTGTAGTTGGCATTAACAAATCCTTTGTGAAACAACTACTTGGAATAATAAAAGATAATCCCACCATTAACAGCTCTTTTTATCAATTGAGTAAAATTAGAACATAACCCTTTTTAGAATTCAAAGAAAATATAGTAGCTTGAATTTATCTTTTGTGTTGTCATTACTAACATATTTAGAAGGAATATACCACTCTAGCTAGAAGTGAAGCTCTTTGTATGTTGGCCCTACCACTGTCTTGGGAGAGCCACTTAATCTCTCTGCTTGTTACCTCATCTTTAAAATGGAAGAAGTGGTAACATCTGTCTTACAGGTTTGTTGTGAAGTTTAAGTGAGATAATGGTAAAGTACTTTCATGTGTTATTCAAATAACAATTAATGTAATCATAATTAAAAATTCTTTTTTCCAGACATTCAGAAATATATTCCATGTTATCAGCTTTTTAGGTGAGTAGCTAGAGCAAGTAAATGATCCACTGTGAAAATTACTCTCTGCAAGTGAAGTAATTTTTAAAACTAGCAAAGTGTTTCTGTTATACATGGTGGTACTGATTAAAATGAAAAGATTTTTTTTTTTAAATACATGAAAATTCACTTGTTCATTTCAATCCTGTCTAGTAGTTCATTCTCTGTATTTATATGTTTGCTTTAGCCAGTCTCCACTGCCTGTCCCTGGTGGTACCTTGAGGATTGCTTTTCCGTTTCACACCTACTCTCCTTATTGTATTATTATAAATTCAGTGACACAGTCTCATACACCAACAGCAGCTTTTTTCCTACCCTTTTACTCTAGTTTATCATGTTTCCTCACTTACAGTATTTTTTTAATGTTATCTTTTGTCAATTAACCAGTGAGGTCCTTTACCCTGCTTCCTTTTGCAGAATTTTTAGGATGAAAACTTGTGCTCTTAGTCCTACAGATAGTAGTAGTATTGTTAGCCCTAATATAGGCTGTGGTATTTTTAAAAACCTTTTATTGAGGTATTGCTACATACATATGGAAAAGTACACAAATGAATGAATTTTCATAAAGCAAACACTTATAACCACAACATGGTGAAGTTGTAACAAAACAGCTTTAAGATTTGTATAAACTGCCCATGAAAAATCAGCATTATTATCTTACAGTCTCACTTAATGATTGTGTAAGAGTTGCAGTGGAGCATATGGTTAAGGTGAGAAAGACTTATGGTAGGGGATGATAGAAATAATAAGGCTTAGTATAATCTTAAACTGCTGTACCAAAGAGAGGTACAGCTCCTATAGTGCCTTATATACAATGGACATACAAAAATATTTGTTGAATGACTAAGGATTCTTGGTGGAGACTTATAAACAGTACTTTCTTAAGGGTCTCTGGACCAGCAAAGTATTAAGGGAGAATCAAAAGTGGTTTAATATCTTCTGGTGACTAATTAGACAAACATAATAGTCTTGGAGCTGAGGAAACCATCTGATTCAGTGATGAGCAACCTATGCCTCATCCTTTTAGCTTTATAAGAGTAAGGGGTAGGGGTTGGGGAGGGCATAAGGAGAACCACCTGAATGGCTCTCATTCAAAAAAGTTTACTGCAAACTTCATTTTCCCTTAACAACAAAATAATAGGCCTAAAAAGTTCATGATGTAGCCAATTCCACAGAACTGGTTAATGGTAGGGCAAAAACTAGAAGTATCAGGATTTCTTGAGTTACAATCCAATATCATACCACACTGTGTCTTCCTTGTTCTAAATAATATAGGTGAACATGTTAAAAACAAGAGTCTTCTGATACCGTACTTCTTGAAGTCCAAACTGGATAAGCTTTAACACTCAGTTTTATGTTTTATTACATAAACAGGGTAACAAAGTTACGGTCCCATGGCCTATTTTTATATGGCACGCTATGAATAGTTAATATATTAAGGGTTGTTTAAAAAACAAACACACACACAAAACGGAGGAATATGCAACAGAGACTGTGTGTCCAGCAAAGCCTAAAATATTTACTGTCTGTCCCTTTACAGAAAAAGTTTGCCAACCTTGCTCTAATACATTGCTTCTCACAGTTTTTCACTGAAATACACTGATTCATGTACCTCAGGAATCTGGGAGAAGTTCCTAGAAAAAAAGGCCATTGAAGCCTAAAACTTAGTCAACTTTAAAAAAACAAAATTTAAGCAATTTAACATCAATTTTGGGGCAAAAGTAGGTTTGCAGTTCATATGGAAAAAAATATTATAATAATAATACAAGAAAAAACTTTCACACACTAACAGCATAAACCTACTTTTGCCCCACCGTGTATATCTATTTCTATTTAAAAATACCCCCCTTCCCAGAAACATCATATAAAAATCAGTGCTTGCACATACAGGATGTACACCATTATCCTATTGTTTCTTGTATACCGTGTATTGCCTTATGCCCCACTTTGAGAAACTCAGAAGTGGACCGTCCTAGAGAAATAAAGGAATAAACTATTGTATTTAGAGTTTTTGTGTTGGAATAATAAATAGTAAACTAGAGGGAGCTGTTTGATATATTGAATATCCCCCTTCGGTAGATGGAACACTTTATTTTGTCTGTTTTCCCATTAAAAATTTTTAATACAAGCCTTTGTAAGTTAAAAAGAAAAACTACATTGCCCATTAGGATATATCATCAGTTCTGTGTAGCTAACTTAGTGTTTAGTGTACAGATCAGAATTGTACACTATGTAATTGTACATAATGTAAAAGCCTATTACATTGACTGTTATTTATAAAGGATTTTGCATAACAGGTATTGCACTATCATAGAAAAGAATATTGTTTATCTCAATGAATGTTAATAGGAGGAAAACATTACTTGCATTCCCTGTTATTGGAAGGGAAAGAAAGTTGGAAGTAAACTCTTTAGAATCTTTTAGAATCATCTTTTAATTCTCCCTACTTTACAGCTACAGAACAAAGCTCACTCACTAAACTAATCCAGTACCTATTCCTTGCACCCCTCCAAAACCCCAAACCTACCAACTCCTAATGCAAGTATTGCCTTTGGAATTAGCAATGAATAACTTGTCTTTTCGTTATTGTGCTTCAATATTCATTTTATACAGTTTTCGTATGTATCAATATTTTAAGTTTTAGTAAGTAAATTATGAATGAATTTTAAACTGGCTGTGTGAATTTATAAATTTAATGAATAGTTTGTTTTGTTTTAAAAATATGTGATGCCCAAACATATATCTCGAAGTTTCTCCACTCTTTTTCCTTTTTCATTGCTTCTGGACCTCATATTTCTACCACTTTAGGTCTATTAGTTTGAGAACTTCCTCTACTGTTTATTTTAAAACTTCATCTGACAGGTAGGTATATGGATTTGGGTTGAGTAGTTAGGTTAGGAGTAACTAAAATTTAAGGTGCTAATAAAATCATTCATATTTTTAGCTTATTTGAAATGCCTTTAATTTTGGCTTTTACAGCTTTTACAATTCTTCTGGTGAATTAAATGAGCAAGCACTGAAGAAAATACTATCAAATATCAAAAAGGTATTCCCTAATTTACCTTGTCTTTTTTATTATAAGTGTTATTTTCAGTTCCTAAAAACGTGTAATACTTTGACAAAACTTTTTTTTTTAATCCTCACTGAGGATATTTTCTCCATTGCTTTTCAGAGAGAGTGGAAGAGAGAGAGACATCAGTGTTAGAGACACATTGATTGGTTGCCTCCCGCACGCACCCCAACTAGGGCCAGGGATCGAGCCTGCAATGTAGGGATGTGCCCTTGGCTGGAATAGAACCCCAGACCCTGCAGTCCGCGGGCTGGTGCTCTATCCACTGAGCCATACTGGCCAGGGCTTGACAGACCTTTTAAGCAGCATGCGTTTTCACGATGTCCTATAAAGCAGGTGAGGTAAGGCTTGTTCTTTCCAGAAGTTTAAAGGGGCGCTCTGAAAGCAAAACTAGTCTTTAAAAGAATTAATATTGTTTTCATCCTTCCCTTGACTGTTCTAATGAACATTGATCTCTTCCTCTTTTACCTTCCCTCCATACCCCTTCCCAGTACCATTTATTCTAGGACTTAATCCATTGCGGTTTTTACACAGCCGCAGTTACTCGTTTTTATAGTTCAGGGATGATTGCCTATTCAGCACCTGATTTGAATCCTCCACAGCACACTTGTGTGTTCAGTTAAAATTTATTGAATGATCAAAATAGATATTTTTTTCCAAGTACAAAATTTTCCTGGGTACTATTTCCCTCTTAAAACTTTGTGATCTCTGAGTTCAGAATAAAAGTAAATTCAGTAGAAGTTTCTTTCAAGAAAATCCTTTGTTGAAAATGCTTGGGCTTTCCCCCCAATTATATTTGGGTATTTTAAAAAATGTACCTGTAAAAATGTTTCAGTTTTAAAAAGAAGTAATCTTAATTTCCTCAACTTAAATGAGCAAATATAAAACTTAGTTGCTGAAACTTTCACAGACAGATCTCTAAGCAAAGTGGTTGATTTTCTTTTTTATAATTACTAAGTTTTCAGCAAATGAAATTTATTTTTCCAATTTAAAAAAAGTAAAGGTTTAGTAATACTAACAACACATTTCTTTAGCATGCTAGTTTACAAAACCCTTTCACATGATCATATTCAGTCTTGAAACCAACTCCATGGGGTAGCTGATATCATTCCCCTATAAATTTCAGTTTTAAAAGCTACTGGGTTCACCTTACTTATTTAACAAACCAAGTATACACATAGAAAATTAACTAGTTTCCACTGACATTTTCTTAATTTAAATTTTGACTAAAGATTAAGATTTTAAGATAGCAAATGCCTTAATAGAAGTTAATCTTTTTTCTCTCTGATCTATATTGAATAAAATGTAGTCCCGAAAATGAATGGAGAGTAATTTAACTGCAAGACAGTTTGCATATTTTACAAAATGTAAAGTGTATATTTAAGTGTATGTTTTGTTTACATATGCCCAAAATCTTGCTAAATATTAAGAAAGCCATTTTTAAGGTTGTCAATTTTATTGCTTAACTATAACAGTAAGATATATAATAATTGTAACCACTAAGGTATACACCAGATTTTTTTTCTATATTTTCTTTCAGGATGTAGTGGGTTGGTACAAATTCCGACGCCATTCAGACCAGATCATGACATTTAGAGAGAGATTACTTCACAAAAACTTACAGCAGCATCTTTCAAGCCGGGAACTTGTTTTTCTGCTATTAACACCGAGTATAATAACAGAAAGCTGCTCTACTCATCGGCTGGAGCATGCCTTATATAAACCTCAGAAAGGGTAAATGTTGGCCAGTCACTGGCTGTCCTCAGCTAATAGAAAAACGTACCCAATATTTTTATAGCACTTTTTGTAGCTTACCAAGTATTTTCATACATTGTTGCATTAGTGTTATAGTTCTTTACAGATGGGAAAATGAAGGTCAGACAAGGAAATGAGAAGCCCAATATGGAATGTTGACTTATGTTTCTGGCACTGAGGGTTTGCTATTATTTAACAAAAAGTGGAAAAAAATATGTGTGCTTTAGATACTGGTTTCTTTTTTTTTTTTTTTTTTAATATATCTTTATTGATTTCAGAGAGAGGAAAGGAGAGGGAGAGAGAGAGATAGAAACATCAATGATAAGAGTCATTGATCGAGCCCACAACCCACACATAGTGCCCTGACCGGGAATCGAACCCAGATCGCCTGGATCCTAGGTCGACGCTCAACCGCTGAGCCACGCCCAGCCGGGCATAGATATTGGTTTCTAAAGGATATAATGTAGAACTTAAACCTGGGTACTTGAGCAGCTTTTCTATAACCTCTGCAAGGAAGCAGTTTTTTGTTTGTTTGTTTTTTAAATATGTCTTGATTGATTTCAGAGAGAGGAAGGGAGAGGGAGTTAGAAACATCAATGATGAGTCATTAATGGGCTGCCTCTGCCTCCTGCATGTCCCCTACTGGGGGTCAAGCCTCAAAACCCAGGCATTGTGCCCTGATGGGGAATCGAACCATGAATTCCTGGATCATAGGTCTGTGCTCAACTACTGAGTCATGCCAGCTGGGCGCAAAGTAGTTCTTGATGATCTACCAAAATGAGTTAACAGGGACTTCCCAAAGGTTTTCATGGAATATGAGAATTGAGTTAAAAGCGTACTGCCCAGCTGGGCGTGGCTCAGCGGTTGAGCGTCGACCTAGGATCCAGGCGATCGGGGTTCGATTCCCGGTCAGGGCACATGCCCGGGTTGCGGGCTCGATCAATGACTCTCTCATCGTTGATGTTTCTGTCTCTCTTTCTCCCTCTCCTTTCGTCTCTCTGAAATCAATAAAGATATATTTTTTAAAAAAAAAAGTACCAACTAAGGTTAATTTTATTATTCATGGAAGATAGGATAAATCTCAGTAATACAGCCTTATTTATATGTGCTAATCAGTTAAAAGAGCCATAGAAGTATTTTTTTACATAATTATCTTATGTATACTTCACACAACTTTTAAAAGCCATTTCCTTAAGTCTGTAAATTCTATCTTGGGTAAGTAGTAAGATGGGATTTTTTTTTTAATATATTTTTATTGATTTCAGAGACATGGAGAGGGAGAGAGAGATAGAAACATCAATGATAAGTCATTGATCGGCTGCCTCCTGCACACCCCATGCTAGGCATCGAGCCCACAACCCAGGCATGTGCCCTGACCAGGAATCTAACCTTGATCTCCTGGATCCTAGGTTGATGCTCGACTCCTGAGCCATGCCGCCAGAGGAAAGGTAGTCTATACTAATAAGTAAATGCTTATCTTTTAAGTTTATATTTTAAAATTTTATTTCCTCAGACTTTTTCATAGGATACCTTTAGTGGTGGCCAACCTGGGCATGTCTGAACAACTAGGTTATAAAACTGTATCAGGTTCCTGTACGTCCATTGGTTTTAGCCGAGCAGTGAAAACACACAGGTGAGATTCCTTAATTGCTTCCCCACTAAACTTATTCCTATTCATTTACTGAAGTTAATTTTTTAATTACACAATAGCAGAATAAAAATAAAAGGAAAATTAACTAATGACCATATCACTCAAATAAACTAGACTGTTTTTGCTTTTTTCATATTTCCGTCTAGCACTTGTTCATTTATAAAATAGAGGGGAATTGTTGCATATTTTAACATATTTTCTAGGAATAATTAGCTAGCTGTAAAATAATAATTTTCTAAGGCATCAGTTCAGATTAAAGACGTGAAATTAGACTGGATAATAAAGACCAAAAAAAAAAAAAAGAGACTTTAGCCAAGACTTATGCATACTATAGGCGAAGTTATAACTTTTTTGTGGTCATTACAGGAATAATTGTCAGAAATAGCAATACTGGTATTACAAGATACTTCCTAGAGTATAAATTTTATGAGAAAAGGCACTAGATTTTATTTATTTTTGTGTTCCCACAGTGCTTAACAGTCTCTTACAGAAATTAAATACTACATTTCATTGATTCTAAGATGTACAGTTATAAATTTACCTCAAATTGGGATGTTTTACAGACCATGCCTTAGCAATTTTTTTCTTCGTGGTATATAAAATAATGTTGCCTCTTTCAATCAATGATGTCTTAAAATTGGTAAAATATGATTGTGATTCTTTCGTAGCTCAACTACAAGTAAGTTTTTCATCGTATCATTAAATGAATTCTGTAAACTTGCCTGAGGAAATGGTAATTTTTTACAGCCCTGAATTTTTTAAAGAAGATGGATCTTTAAAGGAAGTACACAAGATAAATGAAATGTATGCTTCTTTACAAGAGGAATTAAAGGTAAGTTAACTTGTCCAGCACTTAAAAGACCACTTCTAGAGTTCATATCAAATGATAACTGACATTTTTTAGGGATAACCTGACATTTGACTAGATTTATATTTGATTTTCATTTAGCTTCAGTAACAAAGACCTCAACCTCAGTGGCCTACAAATACACAAGTTTAGTCTCACCTACATTATATCTTGGCTACAACTCTGCTCCAGTTCTAAGTATCTTCATTCTAGGACCCAAACTGAAGGAGCAGCCCTTATGTGGGACATGCTTTTCTCATCACAAAGGGAAAAGAGCAGAAAGCTAGTGGAAATTTACAACAGTTCTTAAAACTGCTCAGTTAGCATGCCTCTTCCACTCATATTTCATTGGTTAGAGGACATCACATGACAGCAGGCAGGGGTATATAATCCTTTTATAGGATGAAAAGGAAAGCAAATATTTGGGAACAAAACAATCTACCACAGTACTTAGTTCTATCCTACTTTGGTAATTCAGGTCCTTTGAGAAGTAAACATCAATGTGGGATTAGACAAGCAAGAGATTTACTGGGCCTGAGAAGGATAAAGGGGAGGGTGCGCCTGGGAAAGGAGATGCAGGCAGGGAAAGGAGATTGAGTAGGGAGAGCCTTACACTGCAGGACCAGAAGTTTCAGCCAGGCAACGCTGTCCCATAGGAATGGACTTTTAATAATACTCCCAGTGTGCTCAGTCTCAGTGACTGAGCACATTAGAGCAGCCTAGGGAAAGCCTGGCCTAAGCACAGACACAGTAGTGGACCCAAAAGTATGGTAGCTGGGCCGCCAGTCAACTATGCCTCCTCCAAATGGAGATGTGAGTAGTATATTTTCAGGGCCACCATACTCATCAATAGAGCACACTAAGAGAAATGGCGCTAATACGTTTTACACCCTACTCATGAACAGTAACACAGGAATTTTAGAAAATAGAGAAACATCCAGAAACCCATTGTTGTAATAGAACTATTTTCACTTTGCCGTATTCTACAGTTTTTCCCTAATGTATACTTCTTTTATATAGTTGACAATGATGGGGGCAACATAAATGGGTGTCATGATTTTTATTTATTTGATATGTCATTAAACATTTTTCATGTTGCTACATATGCTTTTATTCTTTTTAATGGCAGTGTATTTCATAGAGTAGTACGTTAGAACTCATGTCAAAAGTACCAACTTGGGCTAAAACAGGGAGTGTAGAGAGGTATGTTATAGGAACTGTAGGCAGAAAGTGGTTGAGTTTCAGGAAGGAATTGGAACCAGGAGCTAGAGTGCCATCACAACTTTCTTTGTGTCTGCACATAGGTTTCCTTCATAGTATCTACAGGTCTTTGTGTTTATTCATCCACTGGTGGACCAGAGAGTGGCTAACCCACAGCTGCATTTAGATCTCTTCTATTCAAGAGATTAGGGTTTGCTGATTTGCTATGTAATGTCTCTGCTTGGGTAAGCTAGGGTGAAGTTGGTAAAGGGGTTATTGGTGAACTCATGTCAGGGTGAACAAGTTCATGATAACTAGGCTTAGCAGACATTTTAAAAGTATCCACTAAAACTGGCTATAACCACCTTTTACCCTATAATTGGAAAGTAGTTACTTTTTATTTGATATTATGCTAAGAAACATCCTATATATGTTTTGTTATTAATATATGTTCCCAAAATGAAATCACTGAGTCAAAGGTATTAGTACTTCAAACTGATGACACATGAGGCTAGTCTGCTTTTCAAAAGTATTTCATTAGGGGGAGGAGAGGACCTTGGTAGAGGTGGGCAAAGGAGGGGGAAACGGNGTACTTCAAACTGATGACACATGAGGCTAGTCTGCTTTTCAAAAGTATTTCATTAGGGGGAGGAGAGGACCTTGGTGGAGGTGGGCAAAGGAGGGGGAAACGGGGGCCAGTAATAGTGTCAACAATTTTTTAAAAAAGTAGTTTCTTTGACAGGAGTTACGAAATTCCTATATGAAAATTCTTTCATAACAGTAAAATGTAGTCACTTTTCTTTAATGTTAAATGTTTGCAGTAATTTTTTACCTCTCAAAACAGTACACTATTTTTGGTTTCAAAGCGAGTTAAATATTTTTGTTTTTTATTCCAGTGTATTATCAAGGAAATAACTGGTATGATAAAACTATTGTATAAATGGGAAGTTAATGCATCTGGAAAACATCTGATAACTATAAAGCACCATACCAGTGCTTATTGTTGAGTTCCTCCAAAAAACAGCAAAATTAAAGTTTTTATAAAAGCAAGTAATACTTGGTATTATGTACCATGAAGGATTTTATATTATTTGTGAACCCAGGCTGTAGTACGTAACTTGGAACTTTATCTATACTCTTACATTTTATTTTGCAGAGTATATGCAAACAAGTAGAACAGAGTGAGGAGGCAGTAGATAAACTACTAAAGGATGTAAATAGACTAAAACGAGAAATTAAAAAAAGAAAACAAGCACAGATTCAAGCAGCACGTAAGTAAAAAGTTCACACATCACTACTTTCTGTACCTAAAAAAAAATTCTGATTTGAATTGATGGAGCCAGCTGCACTGATGAATTTGTCCACCTTAAGATTAGAAGTAATTGTTTTATTAATACTCTTAAATCCCACTGAACAAAGAACATGGTACTATTATAGCTATACTCTTGTTGATATAAAAGAATTTAATTATAATGTTCTCTTAAGAGTTGGAATTTGGGGTCATGCAAATTATTTTTCTCAGGTTAGATCTAAAGTGTTTTTAACTCAACTTTACTAACAAATAGATAATTATAAAACCTTTGTAGAACAACTATTGTATGTTGAACTGTTATTTTATTTTGTTTAGGAGAGAAGAATGTCCAAAAAGACCCACAGGAGAACACTTTTCTTTGTCAAGCTTTACAGACCTTTTTTCCAGATTGTGAATTTCTTCACTCGTGTGTTATCTCCTTGAAAAATAGGCATATTTCTAAAAGTAGCTGTACTACCAACCACCAACTCAGTACGGTAGACAACCTGACCTTAATGGTAGAATACACTGACATTCCTGAATCTAGTCCAGCTAGTAGTGCACAGCAAATGATGAAACGTAAAGCTTTAGATACAGATGACAGATGGCAATTCAAGAAATCCCGGCTGTTAGAGATACAAAGCCAACCAACTAAAACAGATACTGACAGTAGTAACCAAGAAAAAACATCCACGAGTAGCCCAGAAACAGATGAGGAGATTGAGAAAATGAAGGATTCTGGTGACTATCCAAGGTCTCCTACATTTTGATCCCTTTAGGCCAAAATATTTTTGATTGGCTGAAAGGTAAAGCCAAATATTTCTATTGTTTTTGCTATGTTTGGCTATTTGCAGTAATACATAAAACTTGTACAGCATTCCTTACAACTGGGAAAAAGAGACTAGCTGTATTTTCACAGTAGAAAGAAGTCTAAAGTTAACATGAAAATTTAATTTTTCCTGTCATTACAATTCCTACTCAAGTTATGATAAATAGTACATTATGACTAGGGTTGAGAGAGAAAATGCTGGACACCATACAATACTAGGGACACACTTATATTTAAAAATTATTCAGTTTATCTGAAATTCAAGTTTAATTGTATGTCCTGTATTTTTATTTGCTTAATCTAGCATTTCTAATTATGATACGACCATAATGCAGCACAAATAGTTTGGTTTCTTTAAAATGAAATATAAAACGCTACTAGGGTTTTTTTTCATTTCACAGCAACCTCTCGTTCCCAGTCTTACTCAGTTGTCCTAACCACACCTAACCTGACAACTATTTTTTAAAGCTATTTTTATTATCCTTCCAAAAAATTTACTTAGTTTTTATTGCAACAGTAACTTTCTTTTTAATGCTTATTTTTCATCAATACAATGACAGATACAACTAACAGGTATGGGAAAAAAATACCTAACTCTTGGCAATGTAGAACTCAAAAGGTAGGAGAGTCATGGGGTAGGAGAGTCAGTACGATTTTTAGGAAGAATATTTAATCTAGTTTAACCCAATGTAATCTAGTGAGTTGGCTAAATGGGTGTTGGCTAAGAGAGCTTTTGCTATTTTTGTATGTGTCTTTTTCATAATTGTGAGAATTTTGCACGAAGTATAGTTATCACATGAAGCCTTCATGTTTCGTTCACTAAATGAAATGTTGAACACATACTTTGATCAATGCTTTTACATATGTTACTTCCTAAGTAATAGAACAAATTCATAGCTAGCATAAAAAATTATCTTTATGTGTTAACATGCACTAGTTACCATGGGGTGCTTTTGAAGCCCACATAATACCAGGGATGATTTTGCAAATAATGAGTTTCTTCCAGGATTGTTTTACTGGTTATATAAGAAGCGCTGTGGTGTTTTGGAGAGCAGGAGGAGGGGAAATAGGTTGTCAGTCTGAACTCTATTTAAAAATAACCACTAATATCACCAGAGTATACAGAACATAGATACAGCCAACAAATGAACAAAACTGGATACATGGGCTAGACTAGGAACGGTGGAGGCAACAAGCAGCCAACATGTATGCAAGTGTCTTCTCTAGATAATAGCTTGATATTTTTCAAAAATCCTACATATTTACTCAGACTGAAGTCTAAACATGCCTTCATGGAAAGCAATTTGCTAAAATGCTATAGAGGTACAAAAGTATTTAGCTCATACTGTTGCACAACGATCCATCTCCTTTGAAGAAAGCACTAATGAACTTTCATCAATCAGAGAAACTTGCTCAAGTCATTAATCNCTGTTGCACAACGATCCATCTCCTTTGAAGAAAGCACTAATGAACTTTCAATCAGAGAAACTTGCTCAAGTCATTAATTAGTACACAGCTGAACTTCCACAGTTGCATTTGATGACCCCACTTTCAATGTATTTAATGAAAAGGAGGAAAACAGTAAAAATTCCCCCAATTTTTCTCCATCTTTTGGCAATAAGATGACATAATATATTGCCTATGGGACAATTTATTTAAAGGACAGTAGTAGTTTCAGGAGAGACTAGTCCAGGAGTAAATGTTAAGTCCTGTGACATCACCACTATCCATCCAACGTGTAACATATCTACAAAGGGAAGATCCACTGCCCTAGCCAGGTAAACCTGTATTTGCTAGTTAGAAAATCTGAGCAATTTCAGGTCCACACCCTGTCACAAGGGATTTGTACATTATACAAGCATTCCACTTACCTGCACCCACAACCCTAAAATCCCACTTATAAGACAGAATCTGGACCTAAAGTAAAATTCCAATACAAGTCATCTTTTCCATATTTAATATCCCATTATCAGCAGTCTATTATTGTATAAGCTATTTGTGGACCAGATATAAGTGACCATGCTACAGTACCAATTTTTTTTACTCATGTAAAAAAATGAGTAAAAATGTAAATGTAATGAGTATTAACATTTCAAATGCTCTGGTTTTATTTAATGAGCATTCACTGGTATGAATAGGTATGCCTTACTGCAGTCCTGCAACACTTTTTCATAAAATTTCATATTTTTAAGAGTTAAACAATAATTTTTAGTTTGATAAGATTTATTTTAGTCTACTAATTTTCTCAAGGTTATTAAATCTTATAGTTTGAGTCAACAACCATTTATTTTAAAATAAGTTTATTGATGCAAACTTTATATAATTTACTCCCGATACTTGATGTTACAAACTTTAGGGTCTTTGAGATATGCAGGATCCTTGTATGTAACTGGCATAAACCCTGTAAAGAGACAATTAAAGTTCTTCACAAAAGATAACAAGCAAAATTTGGATAAGCCCAAGTCATTTTTTCAGGTGCTCTTACCCATTATTTGAGCTCTCTTAATTGCTTTTGTGATTTCTTTTTGTTTTTTCCCACAAAGACCTATAAAATAAAATGCTTTCTTAGTCATTAAAAATACCAATATTCAAAATGCATAACAACTGTCTAAGTCAAGAAAGGTTTGGAAAACCTGTAAAGAGCCAGATAGCAAATATCCTTGCTGACCGGCTATTTCAAGCCCAAACTCGCACCTACGGCCGGCTAATGTAAGTGCAGACATGAGTCTCTCGTGACCAATCAGCAACATTAAGACACGGAAACACGTTTATACTCATGACCAGTCAGCAAGGTTGATAAGTTTTGCGGGCTGTACAGTCTGTCATAACTTCTCAACTCTACTCTTTTCATACACAAAGCAGCCAGCTACAGACACTACGTAAACTAAGCTATTTACAAAAATAAGTGACAGATCCAGTTTAGCCTATGGGAAATAGGCTCCTGTTTAAATAATAGTCTAGGGGTGATTATAGTATACTCCAAAATACCAACACAATTTTTTAAGCCCAAGTCTTCTACACGTTGTCAGTTTATAGTTACCTCTGAGTATGAGAAGACATGTAAAATAATAGCCCTTTTGGACTAAGGTGCTTTTCTTAAATACTAAGCTTTCTAAGAGTGATTTATAATACTATTTGAAAATAGAAAACTTGCCAGTTTTCTTAAATAACAAAAGTAGATTTATAAGTTGCTATAAGAGAAAACAAAATACCTGTTATGTGCCTTCCATAAATACATCCAGTAAACGGAGAAATAAACTGGGACAAAAGCTGTTTGAGTTTTATTTAGAGAGGAAAAAATTTTATATTAGTACATTTGTTATTCAGCCTTGATTGTGTAAATTTCAAAACATATACTTCATATGTCACCTTCAAGTTATGTAAAGGTTTATTAATTTCAGACAAACTTTGTAAGATATGAAAAATACTGAGCTATGCTTATTCTATTAACAGGTCATCTTTTTAAGTAACTAAAGCCATTATTAAAGTTAACATCTCTTACCCAGTTTGTTCAAAAAGTCTGTCTAACAGATTAATGAGCATATTCTTTCAGTGCTAAAGCTGTTTTCTTTTTATTAAATATGTTTTTATTGATTTTGGAGAGAGAGAAAAATCTATTTGAGAGCGAAACACCAATGGGCTGCCTCCTGCATGCCCCCTACTGGGGATCAAGCCTGCAACCTGGGCATGTACCCTGACCAGGAATTGAATCAGCGACCTTTTGGTGCATGGGATGACACTCAACCACTGAGCCACACTGCCAGGGCTAGAACTGTTTTCTTGACGTTTTTACAGATTCTTTTCTAAAATACTGCTGCTTACAACAAAGTACAAAAAATTCCATCTACTATGATAGGCTGTCATATAAAACCAGACTACAGTGGGGTCTTAAGAGGTACATGTACATCAGGCCATTTGTTATAATTATGTTTCATAAATTTAAATTCTTTAGCACTTTCCAGGTGCCAGGCAGTGTTCTTGGCACTATACATAATCCTCCTAATACACTGCATTTTAAAATTTCTTGGTTTTTCTCCCTATAAGCGGCTATCACTTTATACTGTTGCCAGTATACTTCACTCCAACATCATTCTCTATCCCAGATTTGCCACTTAACTTGTTGAGAGCTGTACAACAGATAAAATTACATTTGAAACAGTGATACTGGTGGTGAGGTAAAGAGATAACCTCACCAGAGGAGCTTTTTCCAAACTACTTACCTCCACCAACTGAGAATTAAACTATAGTGAGCTATTGTGAGAATAAAATAGAGATGCCTAACACATAGAACTATAACCAGATATGAAATTACAGTGTTGCTAAAAACTGCCCCTCCACAAAGCCTGTTATAAAACTGACTTGGTTCTCTTTCGTTAGGACTAATAAAGAAGCAAAATCCTAGAGTCAAGATCACAGTGAACCAAATCTTACCTGCACATTCTTATAGTCTACACGTTTTCCACACAAGATACATTTTTTAAGAGGCTCCTTATAAGGATTTTCCATTGGAACAGGCTAGGATAAAGGGGGAAAAATATAATAAAGTTTAATGTCTTAATTTTGAATCTAAAAAAACTAAACCTTAAGGCTACCACATTTAAATCTATCCAAATTAGTTCTGCCTTTTTTACTGTGAAAAGGAATAAAGACGACATTTTGGCTTATAAAAGAAGAAAACAAGTACTTCTAAAAAGTGTTCACCATTATAAAGATTTCAGAATGCTTTTCCATATTTTGTACAAGTTCTTTATCTTGGTTTAGTTTGTCTAAGGAGGAATTAAGTCATGGAGGATTCTAGGATAAATACAATCTTTGGAGAAAAAGGGCTTTTGGGGGGGGGGAATCAAATCTGCACTAAGTGATTCCTCAAATATGTTGCCCAGCTTGTAGGTGACTAAATATTCTTAACTTAGATTTAAATTAAATCATATAGCATATGCAATGTTTAAGTTAGTATTCCTAAATCCATCCCCATATTTCTCTATCAGATGTTTTATCACTATTTTTGTTATAAAAAGACAATGCCCCATGGCTTACTACAATATAAGGTCCTTTGACTGCAACTTTAGGGCTCCCAGACTGCTTTATAAGTTTGTGTCAGACAGCCTTTGTTTTTTATTCACTGCCTCTAATGTTTCTCTCACAATGCCTCCCTCCTACAACTAATGTAGGCATTTCCAGTCCAGAGATTCTTAATCTAGAAGTGGCTTTGAAGTCCTTAAACTCCTGTAGTTATATGTAAAATTTCAAATGAGTGGGACTGTGTGCCTTTTTCTGAGAGATCCTATAGCTTTCATTAGCATTACAGTGGGCTTCATAACCTAAAAAGGACCTCAAGTAATTACTTGAAGTGTGGTGTGAATTGAATGACTAAGATAGATTCAGAAGGACTAGAGTTCTTTATTTTTTCCAACTCCTCAATCTTTCTTAATCCAATTTACATTCAGCTCATATGTAATGAATGACTGCCTATATCCCCTCCCTACACTGTACTAAGTGCTTTGCATGATCTCATTAGTGTCAAATTATCTTTGTAAGTAGCATGAAAACCTATACTGTCCAAGTCCAATCCTAGTACTTCAAATCCATAAAACTACATCCACAAAACAGAAGAAACTGTATTTAATGTCCTGGTATGAAACTTTAATTTTGATCCCTCATTTATTAAGACAGCCCCCCCACACACACCCCCACACATAAGTGATGAATGGGACAAAGATAGAATTGAATTTGAAATGGGAAAGAGATCCAACCTATAAGTAAGCTCTGTACAATGCCTCTGTTGGATTATCTGCAATTATACCATCCACCCAAATGACCTTTTTTAATTCCCAAAGCACACATCCTTAAATTTAAGATCTAGGAAAAAAGATATGGTATTACATAAGCCATGCTTCTTTTTTTTAAAATTTTGAAAAATACTTTCTATTAATTTTTAGAGAGGGAGAGAGAGAGAAACATCAATCAGTTGCCTCCCACATGGGCCCCAACTGGGAATCAAACCCACAACCTTTTGGTGTACAGGATGCTGCTCCAACCAACTGTGCCACACTGGCCAGAGCAGAAGTCATGCTTCTTTCTAGGAGTCTAGGAATTTTCTTCAAAACTCAAGTGACTACTCATCAATGAATTATAATTTTCAAACTCAGACTAATGATCATTGATTGCTTTGTCCTTCTGAACTCTATTCAAATAACTAAATATAATAATTTGGTCATATTTGCAAATGCCTTGTAAAAAAGAAGAAAAACATCTTACCAGGTCCTCATTGCTGGTTACCTGTTTATACTGAGAACAACTTCTCCAGAGCACTGCAATTAAACAGAAACAGCAACAAACCAATTCTTTTCGTTAGCTGAGTAGCTAAAGACATTGTTTTTATGGAGGCAAGTTGAATCAAGGAACATAAAAGAGACACCTGAATGTAAAAGGCAGGTTTTATATTCATTATACAGTACTCACGATTGGATAAAAACCTTTAGCTTTGAGGCAGAGGAAGACAATATGAATGCGCCTTACAGGGCTTTGGAAAAGGGCCCGTACAACCTTTCCCCAACCATACAATCTCTCACCTGCTCTCTTCTGATACTTATTTTCCCTCACTGCATGGTTAGAAAGTTCTTTAATGCACATAGGAGAAGCAACAGAAAGGCACTGTCATACCAAAGGTAAAATGAGTAACTGACCCCCTACAGAGAATAGTTATTGATAGAGAAGATAGAAGTACGGAAATGATGAGTTCGAGGGCCTACGTCACAGTTTCGCCCTGATTTGGGACCTGAGACATGGAATTTGCTGCTGGATGACTGGAAATGTCCCTTTCTTACCAAGTTTACCCGAAGATCTTGGGCAAGTCCCTGCCTCTTTTTAATAATAATCCCATTGCTCTCGTATGTGGGGAGAAAGAAGTGTACTGGGAAACATCTCACGCCCCCTTCAGCTTTAAAATACTAGTCATGGGCCATTTCAGATTCCCTTCTATCCTGGAGAAACCCTTACATTGTCCGGAAACAGGCGTCGTTTCGCTAACAGTGGCGACTCCACCGACCTAACTAGCGGTAGGGTAACGGCTGCAATGCTACAACAGGGCCTAATATATGGAGGCTTTACCCGCTCGAGTTCCTGGATTTGGAAGGCTGGCAGCCGCCGCTACGAAGTGCGTCAACTTTTTCCTCCCCACACCACGGCAAACAGCAACCACGGAAGCCATGGTCCTCCGTCCTTCCCTTCCCTTCCTCTTTCTAAATCCCCCGCACTGTTCCTTCCGGTGCTCTTCCGGGTTGGCCGGAGGCCTCGCATCAAAGGTTCCGCGCGCAAACGCCTGGGGCTGGAGGAGGGTGTTCACTGCGTTTGCGCAACACCTTCACGTTCCCGCGGGTCCGCGCCGCCAGCCCCGGACGCTGAGTGGCCGAGAAGGTGCAATGCTGCGCTTATGCCTCCGCTGCAGCCCGAGAGCAATTAATTGGTGGTCTTTCCCGAAAGTGGTTGGAGAGGCCAGCGGCCGTGGCCTCTGAGCTGCCGCGGCTGAGTCCTCCACCCGCCCCTCCCCTGGGGTTTGGCGGCTGGGCCCCGGGGGACGCGGCTC